GTCGCCGTTCGTCTATTAGGAACTCTACTGCTAAGGCCCATAACGTTTCTTGGTTTTCTGGCCTTGTGCGGCTATAGATTCGACATGAGTAGGAAGCTACGCAACAGTGGACCCCTATCCAAAAATGGCCTGTGACATTTGCCATCCACTAGTGCCATAACCCCGAAGAAAATCGAAGAGTTTTCATGCCGCAAAACATCACTGTGTAGGAACTGTGAAAGGGCTTTTTGCCATCTGGAAACTTGTGAGAGTTTGTGTTGGGCCAAATAGTATGGCAAATCTGTAAAACATCATGCAACATGTGAAAAAGCCTATGCCTAATTAGCGTAGAAATGTAAGCTTGTAGAAATTACCTTAGTAAAAAGGCTCACATGTTAAAAAGCCTCAATTTTGATATATTCAAACGGCGTCTATACATCAGTATAGAGACGAATACATTCGTATAGTCTCTAACAAGACAATTTGTACAATTTGTAGACGGTTTGTACAATATATCCGAGTAGAGGCAGGAAGCGAAATAATAAAAGCTATATTTATTTCAACTTAACATCCCTTTTAAAATCAAATATCGGAACGCTATTGTCAATCATCTCTGATTTTCACTTCAGGATGCAGTCTAGTGTGATCGGATTATTTAAAAAAATTCCAAGCTCCATGGCTGATAATACATTAAGCATTGCGTCAAACAGGTTGCCCTAATCACTAAACGGAGCGCATCGATTACACGCCGCGTCACGTGTTTGCCAGTTCCTAGTAACCCAACAGACCTTTTCGTCAACCCATACCCCTTGTCGACAAAATTACCGGACCCAAACAAGTTACGGTATGTTTCCTAGCTTGTTGCCATCTGTCCACTTCGATATCGTGTAAACGTTTTTCAACCTGTTCTTTCAATCGTTGTTACGCACTACTGATTTCCGTCTGCGGGGCTTTGCTACAGACCGCCCTCCTGTTAACTATGACAGGAAGCGATTAACACCTAACAAAGTGTCAGCTGCATAAACATATAAAAAGTCGCATTGATATATTTACCCATCATAAATTCGTATTGGAACAGATAAAACAGTGTATGCTCCGGCAAGACCAATCGAACCGACATTTCGGAAGTAGGCAAAGTAGAAGGAAAGGAATGAAAGCACGAAGCAATGACGTACGAAACAAAGAAAAAAACGAAGTATCTGAGTAAACAGGCTGTGCCCTCTGATGGGATTGACAGCTATCTCTTGTTCGATTAGGAAGCGCAGATGGCAACCTGGATACGATCATAGAGCGCTACCCGATAAAAGGGAACGCCTCCCGTCAAGGAGAAGATGATTTTCTAATAAAAACGTCGAAAATGTACGAATGGGCCGGGGATAAAAAATAAAATGGTAAAAAATGACAAAGGAGGCTTTTACTATAATCTTTCACCGTAGTATATTTCACTATAGTCGGGTTACCAATCACCTTTAATATATCGTAATGATGCAGGACTGACAAAGCGTCTTTAACTGTTCCGTCGGATGGATCCCCTTCACTGTCCTTCCTAAATCGGGGAAAAGAAGGGGCGGCTAGATGAGCCGTAATTAGGCCTGGGGCCTATGAGGGTTTATAGAACCATTACGTCAGATTCTTCAAAGCTCCTTTTAACTTTTCATTTTTGTCTGCTAACGTGAGGCGAAACAATTGACGCAGCCACCGAGTTAATTATTTAGTCATTTCGAAATTGTGTGTTTTCACGGAAGAGCGTTGCCTGGAGCTACGTTATGTTTATGTAGACGGAGGCCGCGTAGAAGAGTAACAGATTTGCGGCAATCGCTACTTAGCACTTGTCAGGTGGCTTGGTCCGCTATCGAATATCGAGGAATCATTACACCATAGTTGCGGAAGTATATTATTTAAATAAACACACATACACTCTATAACATTTACGCGTACCGGTGTAACCTGACATTGATCGTGAAGAAAGCTCAGAATCTCCATGAAGCGAATGGATAGGCATTTTAAAATGTGCCTATTGCAAACGGTGTCATCCTCGACAAGACAGCCTGAAATATACTGGCTTCTTAATATTTCTTTAGAATGGAAAAATATGAATTGGTTAAGTGTGATGAAGTGTGTGATGAACCTCCATAAACAGAAACGTTTCCCGCAGACGACATTTACTATTTTCAAACTTGATACGGGGAGCTTCTTTTTAGAATCTGTAAGCACTATACTTTTAGGGGTAGAAAAAACAGCGTCAAATACTTTTATTTCTTTCCGGCTACGCCTGCAAGGACATGGCCATTCTAAGGCTATAACCAATGCGGAACTAGTACAACAGCCGAGTATACAATACATATGTAGACATGGATTCAAGTAGATATATTGTGCGAGACAATGGCCCGTGTCGTCGGTCGAGCTTCACATAACAGCTCAGGCGGACTTCACGAAACGAGCAGCGTTTTGCTGCGGTATGGAGCGGTGCCAAGTCTCCATCAGCGACAGGATTCGCTGAGTACCCTAGATAGAAGAGGCTTGATAGAAGAATAGACAAGACAAATGAGTACAGCTGCGCAGAGCACGGATCCTCCTTTTCACAGAGTTAATGCCACCTTGTTTTTTCTACGTTCTACCCATGCAGTGGGCATGCCGCTGATCCAGCGTGTTTTTAAGGTGTTGTAAATATATTCTGTAATGGGATACGTTCATATAGGCTCTACCTTACCGGATCTATCATTCCCTATGTTTAGATACATAAGTATGCAAACCCATATGAAAACATGTTACTCGCACGGTCAGGATAACTGTCACTACCCAGACGTATAGTGTTCCTATAGAAACACTCGAACATCGCAAGTGCAGTTTCAAGATTAGGGGTTCACCTAATCGAAAGCTATGTAGAAACAGTCATTATGCAGGAATGCAATTTCTTTAGCGTTCCCTATTGATGTGGACATGCCATTGTTATGGTGTACTATATATGATATGGAAAATTAAAGCTCAAGGCAGTCTTTTTGACGAAGCGCCCGGGCATAAATTATTATTTTCTCTAGCAAGTGGCCGTTTTTTTTTTCAAAAAATCCAGGGCTACACTTAGTCCCAGGCAAAAATAAATGGTCACATTCGATGCGGCATCTGAACATGTTTGTGACTGTCTATAGACGAATATTCCAGATCCTCGTAAGCCGGACCATGGGGCCCTGACGCAGTGTGTATTTGGACGTTAATAGAAAACATGGGAAGGGCGTTTTCTTTAGAAACATCGCCCTTGTTGTAGAAACATAGTGATTTCCAAAACACAGAGTCAATCAATTATTTTTACTACTGGAAATATTATAACAGCTTTTCGTAGTTGTATTGACGCACATGTATGCACTTTGTTATTGAAGAAGTTTGGTACAATATTGCAAAATGGAAAGTATGTAGTTGCGTTTGAAATGTGTATTTTTCTTTTGCGTACGTAGCTGGTGTCGTAACGTCCACGGAAGAAACGTATTTTATTCGAATCAAATAAAATTAGCTCCTTTAAGCAAACTAGAACAATCCTTCTACCCATTGGCTTCCTAATGATGCTTGTTATGTTACCTACACAGTTTTCGTTTGGATCGGAGCCGACTTTTACCCTCGGAAGAAAACGAGAACTACATGTTAAGGGGTATTTCGGTATGATACGGTTGTAAAATTGACTAGCCGCCGACCATTGATTTGTGGGTCCTTTAAATAATACCGGGTTATTTGTGCGTTATTTGATAAATTATAATAGTTTTCCTTTGTTACAACTCAAAGATTTGACTTTTCACACTCAGATTTATAGGTAGGGAACCCTTAAACGGAAAAAATAAAGAAAAACTAAAAGTGCATCGATTGGAATTTATTTTGGGATTTGATTCGTAACTGTTGGCCAAAAATTTCTCATACTTCAGCTTGTTCACATATAGATTTATTGAGCATTGGTTTATTATAACTTGTACTTTGCCTTCTTATGACTGAGATTTACTGCATTTTTCTAACAGACTTCGTTTTGTGATATATTCGAATGTTTACATGCGCGACGCCTACTTCACTCTAAATATGTCAATTTTAAGTCCGGTGGTCCTTACATTAAGTGTTTTATTAGACAGCTATCTGTCAGCACGAACGGACTGTGACTGCCCCTGGTTTTGAACCTAGACCCCCAAATCTAATAGCAAACACTTTACCGTCGCGGGGACGAATGAATTTAAGACTTAGTCACCTGGGTAGAAGCACCCCATCCTCAAATATTTCTCGTGGCTTACAACACGTAGGATAAAATCTGATCGGTCAGAACGATAAGCAGTTGCGTTATCGCTATTTCATCTTCAACGATTTCTTTCAAGGTAACACATACCATATAAATCCACTTTTGCCATCGATAAGAAGATCTTCTCTTCTCACAACTTTGAACCTGCATTTTGTGAAGTTCTGTCATATGTACAGAGAAAATTAGAAGGTCACATACTTTCTTCATTTACCTTCATTTGAGCATAAACATATGGTAACTACAGCGAACCACTGGCCCGGAATTAATGTTTCTGATTTGCACCACTTTATCTTCCCCATTGCCACACACATTTAAGTAAATGCTGCTTCTGAAATCCACAAAGGTTGCTGCATAACGCAGACTTGTCGCCGCTGGGCATTGTGTTTTGGAATCATTTATAAGGGCATCAGTCACCTCTTTGCTTCACATACACAGCTGATATTGGGAAATCATAATATAATTTGGCAGTATAATCCTTTGCTTCTACTAGCACGCATACTTACGTTTACACGTATATGTTTGTTAGTTTTCTATTTGGCATTACGAATAACGCAATCTGAAATCATGCTACCTTCCAGGTGCTTGCAAATTTTGGGCTTTGTCATAGGCGAAAATGACAATTTAAAACATGTCCAAAGTTTCCTGCTTTTTAGGACGTTTGGTAGATCCCTCTAATTAGTTGCCACTGGGGCAACCGTAAACGTTAGATAAATGTGTCTTTCATAGTTAATCTGTCTACGAATTTCTAACTTACCTTGTAAAAAATGTAAATATCATCTTCTGGGTCGGTGAAATTGAACCCGGTTTCATTCATGATACGTAACACTTCGTCATAGTCATACCCCTGGAGCTTACTGTAATGCTCAAAGAGCCTCCTTAATTCCGCCGTCTTGTCCAAGCCCGAAATCGATGCTGCAGACGCGACAGTTGTCAGCGATTCATCCATATTGACATCCCACAACGACCGGCTTACGCTTTTATTTTAGCAATGCAGGTAGCGCAGAAACGCTTCTTCACGTTTGTCGATACGTCATTTAATGTCGTCACATTATTATTATTATTGATCAAATTAATGAAACTAACTATTAACTAGTCAGCTGTATCTCAGCTGACCACTGTAACAGTTATCCGATAACGTTGCAGAGGAACATGTTTCAAACGCCAATTAGTAAACGTATGCTTCTGTGATATTTTTTACATTCACCATTATTTCAATTAAGTTTTCTTCACAGAATTGTGGCTGTTTGAGGACTACAATCCAATCAACAAATACGGAGGTAAACGGTAACAGTGTGTCGATGCGTACAGGTCTGTGATTGCAATGGTTGTGTCGTTACGTAATTCGTTTATGCTGCATTTGTTTCCGACGCGGCTGAGACGTTAGCTGTTGGACGTCAAATCTTCGAGAAAATCCCACGGAATAAATTCAACTTAATTTGAGATGGTATGCTTCTGTTCCATTATAGTACGGATATCCGTTTCTGTAGCTTGCAGTTAGTCCCGCTACTTTGGATTTTCTTCCCGTCTTCGAGAATGAATGAGAATGATGGATGCGAGGAATACTTTGGCAAGTGAACTTTGTTGTACGATTGTTTTCTCTAACTTTTTTCTTTCTCTCATTTCACGTTCTTATAACGTTTATTTTACGGCTATCCTCTGTATGAGGGTATGAATATATATACTAGAAATATAAGGAAAGACGCGCGCATTGTCTTTTGGCTCTTGTGAGATTGGCCAGATTAGGAACCAGGTCAGACAAGCTGTCAGCAAGTACGTGCGCGTTGCGTGACTGGCAAAGCCGGCCGCCACCTTTTCCATCGTCTTAGCTTATGGTTTAAGCTCACAGAGCGAGCTATAACGAGCCGTTATCCACTGCACAGCCCGTCCTATACCACCCTCGGCCTCGTGCAATGATACGTTGAGTAGCAGCCACATACATACACACACGTTTATACCAACGCACTGCAATCCATTTCCTGTTAAATTTCCACCCTATAGTCCGTCGTACAATGCTTCTGACGTCAGCCAGGATCGTACCCAAACCCTGACCGAGTTGGTCCCTCAAAACAGCATCAAATACGCCAGAGATAATAGGCGCCAACAAGTCCACTAGCGAATGGCTTAGTTGTCGGCGAACGGGTACAAAATAAGCTTATGGCAAAAAGATTGATTTTATATTATCGCGTATTTACCGCTTTATCGAGTGGCCCCCTGCCGCTCTTTTGCTGACTGATGACTGACCGGCTGCTGGCTGGGTCGGTGAATCCTACTTTGTGATTTTTATTCGAACTAATATTCACGCCCAGTCATTTGCGCGGGCACAGCTGCTTCTACCTGCAACTGATCCTAGTTTGTCCTAGTTGTATCTTTTGTTTTTCAGTTTCGAAACTTTCGAAATGTTTCCAAAACAAACATATTTACTTTTTGTCTTCCTCTACGTCGTTGTTGGCGTCTTTGTCTTCGTGCAGGATCTGTACAAACTTGCTAGCTCTCACAATTGAGCTTAGCTCACATGCACAATTTTCTCCAAGTGATGAAAATATATACCAGGTTGATTTGCACTCGGACGGCGCGCACGCTGCTTAGTTGCGTTTATGTAGTCGTCCTCACCCTCGATGTTGAGGCCTGCCCTCTCCAGTGGGGAGTCCACGATCCGGAGGAGGGATCGAATGGGTACTGGCCTGCTGTGGCCGGCGAGGCTACCGTCACTGCTGGACCAAGCAAGCGGACGAACGCGCAAAGCGTGCTACCAACGCGGACGCGAAACACGAGGTTCGGGCCCTTCGTGTGTTCAGAAGTCGAGTGAGGACAGTGCTGGCCTGATCGTAACAAAGAGCGCAGCGCACACGTGCAAAACACGGACAAATATCTAGGGTAAAGGTAAGCCAATGTTGATGATGCTACTGCAGCTGCGACCTCGGCCATATCGAGTGGTATTATCTGCTCTGAGCAGAAGGAAAACAAATAGCAAAAAACAAAGAAGAAAACTAGGGGAATCTTGCTAAAAGAATAGTACCATTGTCTAAAAATATATAAATATTAATCAGCTTAAAGATATTTTCGTATGTTGGTTGCAAAGAACAAAAAAGGACATGTGTTTTTTATTCTATTGACGCAACACAGAGCCTTCGTTGCCTGCCAGGCATCCTATTTGACTGGGCCTAAGATTCGTATCTAGTAGTATATGGCTGAAAAATATTGAACAAAAAGCGCAGTATAAAAAGCGTTCTTGGAATAAACTGTTTAAGGTATGATTCGATCGGACTTTTGATGCTTGAACTAAATTTACGCTCACCGGACTTTTGACGAATTACGGGATAGGAAATGAACCGCCTATTCTCTAGGGCTAGAGGTAATTAAGTTAATTGCTGATCATGTGACTGTACGATCATTTTGGAGTCTCATAACGCTGTTGTTCATAATAAACAGCAGGTACAAATTTACTTTTTTTTTTTTTATATATATAAACTAATGCAAAAGTTAGCTTAACCTTTTGTTAGGGTTTTATTAGGTTGGTGGTCAGCGCATACCCCACGCCCCTACCCCTCTGATAAAGGAAAGGATGATATGATAAGTGTTACAAGACACCATTCGATAATAAGGTGATTATTATTATTAGCTTTATTTA